GTATAGTAATGTGGGTTGGCATCTGTGATCATTTAAAACTGGGAATTCTTTGGTCCAGGCTCTTCTGGCTTTCATAGTTTGCACTGTAATCCTTTTTACTATGATGTGCTGTGGAGAGTTTCTTTTCTGGTCCTGTCTGTTTGGTGTTCTATATGCTTCTTGTATTTGTATGGGCATGTCTTTAATTTTGGGAAATTTTCTTCCACAATTCTGTTGAAGATCTGGTCCAATCTTGGGATTCTTCTCCTTCCTGTATACCTATGATTCCTGTTTGGTCTTTTTGTGGTGTCACGCAATTCCTGCATATTCCATTCTTGTGATTCCTTAAATTTTTCATAATCTTTCTTGAGTGTTCTAGTTCGTCCACTTATCTTCCAGTCTTGATACTCTGTTTTCCATTTCATTCATCCCATTGGTGAGGCTTTCACCTGTCGTTTCTAATTGGCTTACTGAGTGTTTCACGTCCTTCTTCATTTCAGCCTGAGTAGTCTTCAATATTTCTGGCTGTTTTCTGAATTCATTCAGACGTTTATCCCTATCTTCCTTCAGTTCTTTGATTTCTTTGTGTGTTCTTTAAATTCACTGAATTCTTTTATCATGTTTATAATTGTTCTTTTGAGTTCCATGTCCTGCATTATCTCTAGGGGCTTCTCATTGTACTCCTGTAGAGGACTATTGGTATTTGGTGGGGATGTGTTGTTTTAGTTTTCCATGTTATTATTTTTTCTCTGTGATTTTGCCATGTGAATTTCTTTTGTAGTTTCTGATTCTTGTGTGAGACTCAGGCCTTCAAGTTTAGGTCTGCTTCTTTTGGTAAACTTTATGTGTGGTTTACTTTTTGGGCATGAAAAGCTGGTTCCTCTCAGGTTCCGGTTCTCTCTTTTGATTTTATATTGGAGTGGTCATATTGCTTTTGTCTTCAGGAGTTCCCACAGAGGCCCAAGTCAGATGAGGATCAGATGCTCTCAGGCTTTCTACTAAGGTTTGGATCCCTCCAGGAACGATTTTGGCCTCAGGAATTTGGGCTTTGGACTGGACAGGGAGCAGGGCCCAGGAATGATTCTGGTCTAGGGCAGCTGGTGGTCCTGCCACCCAGAGATGCAAAGGCAGATGGGGTGGGAAGACGCCCCAAGGACTCCTGGGGCCTGCACTGAGGATCTTGGTTGGTCTGGATGCAAAGGATCAGGAAGAGGAAAGGTCAGTCCCGGTGTCCCAGAAAGAGGTTGGGTGGGTTGTGTAGGCCCAGGGAAGCAGACAGAGGTGAGGGCGGGCCCAGGCCTAGAAGCAGTGCTCCTGGGGCCCAGAGAACACTCTATGTTAGTCTGGATGAAAAGGATCAGGAAGCAGTATTGTTTCCCCAGGTGTCTGGGGCCCCAAGACAAGGTATGGGACAGGACCCGAACTAGGAGAGACCGGCCGGGGAGATGGGAGGGTGAATGAGGCTGGGGGAGTCAAGGTGCAGAGGGTGTGATGGACTTACCCTGGAGAAAGGCCTGCTGGTAGGAGACTTTATTTATTATTTTATGTGTATGAGTGTTATGCCTGCATGTAGGTAAGTGTACCCATGTTGTATAATGCCCGTGGAGGACAGAAGAGGCTGTCGGATCCCCTGGAACTGGAGTTATGGGCAGTTGTTAGCTGCCATGTGGTTGCTGGGATTCGAACCTGGGTCTTCTGCAAGAACTCTCAGTGTTCTTAACCACTGAGCCATCTCTCCAGCCCCTGGAAGCAGGAAGATTAGCGGTTCAAGGTCATCTTTAACTGCAAAGCAAGTTTGAGGCCAGCCTGGGCTGCGTAGTTCAATCTGTTTCCACCAACCAACCAACCAGACATAACTAGTATTTACTGAGTGCTCACCACATGCTAGATGCATATTATTATTTTTTTTTCTTTTTGATTTAATTTTATGTGTGTGTGAGTGTTATACATGTATGTGTGTAAGTGCACCCATGTGCAGTGCCTGCAGAGAATAGAAGAGGGCATCAGATCCTTGGAACTGGAGTTACTGATAGTTGTTAGCCACCATGTGGATGCTGGGATTTGAACCTGAATCTTCTGCAAGAACAGCCAGTGCTCTTGACTGCTTAGCCATCTCTTCAGCACCTAGATGTGTATTATTTTACCTGTAGCCCTCAAAAACCTTATAAATTTGATGCTGACCTGGTGTGGTGGTGCATGCCTTTAATCCTAGCACTCAGGAGGCAGAGTCAGGTGGATCTCTGAGTTCAAGGCCAGCCTGGTCTACATAGTGACTTCTAGGTAATCTGGGGCTACAGGGAGACCCTGTATCGAAGAGACAAAAATAATAAATAAATAAATAAATTTAAAAAAATGTGTTTATGGTGCTTGTGTATATGTGAACATGCACATGGCCATGGCATGCATGTGGAAGTCAGAGGAGAACTTGTGGCAGTCAATTCTCTCCTTCCATCATATGGATTCTGCAACTTGAACTCAGGTTGTCAGCCTTAGTGGGCAAGCACCTTTACCATTGATTTTCTGACAAGTATTTTTTGTTTGTTGGGTTTGTTTTTTTTTGAGACAGAATCTCATGTCACTCAGGCTTTGTCTTGAACTCACTATATAGTGGAGGATGACCTTGAACTCATCCTGCCACCTCTGCCTCTTGAGTGCTGGAATTACAGTTGTACACCACCACACCCAGGTCCAGGAGTTTCCATTGGAAGGGGTTCTCAACTGTGATGGGTATGGGATCAAGAGGGTTGGTGTCTCGAATAGTCCTTTCAGTAAATGGCTCACAAAGTCCAGATTTTTCTGAAGTAATGACCAGAGAAACGTCCATGAATGAGACAAGCAGATTAATGAAATGTAGTCACTCCTGAAGACAGAACAGGAAAAGTACTTTTTTTTTTTTTTTTTGTCTTTTTGGGACAGGGTCTCCCTGTAGCTCCAGCTGTCTGGAACTCACTATGTAGTCCAGGCTGGCCTTGAACTCACAGAGATCCACCTGCCTCTGCCTCCTGAGTGCTGGGACTAAAGGCGTGTGCCACCATTCCCGGCTAGGAAAAGTACTTTTTAAAAAAATATTTTACTTATTATATTTATTTTATGTGTATGAGGGTATTGCCTGCATGCATATGAATGTACCTGTATCATGCAAAACCCAAGGAAGTCAGAAGAGGGTGTTGGAGCCCCTAGAACTGGAGTTATGGATGGTTGTTAGTCGCCATGTGTGTGCTAGGATTTGAACGTGGCTCCTCTGCAAGAGTAGTCAGTGCTCTTAACTGCTGAGGCATCTCTCGAGCCCTGAAAAGTTCTAATAGAGTTCCTTTTGCCTGTTGTTTTCAGCAACTAATATCAGATTCTTTGCCTATTATTATTTTAATTTCTTGTTCCCTACAGAGGACCACAATCTTGTGAAAGTCGTGGAGTTGGTGGATGCTGTGTATGGTCCCTACAAACCCTACCAGCTAAATTATGGCAACATGGAGGAAAGCAACCTTCTCATACAGCTCAGCGCCGTGCCTTTGGTAATGAATGCTGCAGCATTGCCACTAGCTGCTTAGCAAGTGTTCTGTGTGCCAGGGTCTGCTGTCTGATAGAGGGTTAGGGTGGGATCAAGCGTACCACAAAGGGAAGAGGGGAAGAAGGGGAGGAAAGAGAAGAAGGAAGGAAAGAAGGAAGAAAGGAAGGAAAAGAGGGAAGAGGTGCTTTAAATGCTTCATGGGCTCCTGTAGTCCAAATATAAAATATGCAGCTAACAATATGCTTCCAATTTTCTATTTCAAATTGCCAGTTAAAGACCAAGCAAAGCTGGGGGCTGGAGAGATGGCTCAGTGGTTAAGAGCACTGACTGCTCTTACAGAGGACCCAGGTTCCATTCCTAGCACCTGCATGGTGGCTACGAACTGTCCTTAACTCCAGGGGAATCTGAAGCCCTCTTCTGACCTCCACAGCATTGCATGACATGGTGCACTCACATACATGCAGGGAATACACTCATACACATAAAATAAAAAAAATAATAAATATTAAAAAAAAAAAAAAGACCAAGCAAAGCAAAAATGAGAGGTTTAGAGCAGGGCATGGTGACGTATGCCTTTAGTCCCACCATTCGGGAGGCAGAGGTAGGTGGATCTCTGTGAGATCAAGGCCAGCCTGGTCAACGTAGTAAGTGCCAGGCCAGCTGGGGCTACAAGGAGACCCTGTCTCAAAAAGACCAAACAAACATCAAAAACAAAAATGAAAGTTTTATATCTTTGGGATCAACTTTCTTCAATGTAGTGATTACTTCTTAAGGTGGTCTTTCATGTAAGAATGATAAGCAGATGGGCTCAAGAACTGAGCATCCAGGGACAGGTTCCCTATGCAGGTACCAGGAGGTCAAGACCATCTCTGTCTTAAGTAGTGTTTGTTCTCAGGTTATTTAAGGTTGTCTAGCCTGAGGCAAGTTGCTTCAGAGCTTTGATTTTACAGTAGTTGAAGTCTGCTGCCTCTTGCCCTTTTCCTGTTTTCTAGGTACCTAGAAAGTGTTTCTACTTCAGTTCCATTCTTGCCCCTGAAGGAGACATTTTTCCTTCTGTTGCATTCCTTCAGAGTATCTAATCTGGGGAAATTAAATCCTAGCTGGAGGGCTAAAGGGAGATCTACTGTCTTAATAATCATAGAAAAAGATGAAAGAAATGAACACAAAGATGAGCTAGACTTTGGTTATATGTTTCTGCCAGGAGATTATTTCTGTGATGTTGTTGATCACATAAACTGTCATGTGGTCTGTGTCATCCTCTCCTCCTTGCTCAGGCTCTTGAAGCATTATCACAGACAGTTGGGGTAGTATTTCTGCTTTAGATTAGATGGTTTTTCCACAGATGACTGGGCTTGGCAGGCTGTCTGTGTTAATGCTGGCAGTTACCCTCTGAATGCTGTCTGTCTTGAGTCTGACAAGGCTTTTGCTTGTCTGTATCTGCTTCTCAGGAGCACGGGGAAGTGATTGACTGTGTGCAAGAGCTGAGCCACTCTGTGAACAAGCTTTTTGGCCTGGCGTCTGCAGCCGTTGACAGATGTGCCAGATTCACCAATGGCCTGGGGACCTGTGGCCTGCTGACAGCCCTGAAATCCCTGTTTTCCAAGTAAGGCTGGGGAACAGGGTCAGGGCTGGCCACATTGGAGGACAATGTCTTTCTCAATTAAGTGTATGTGTCCGAGTTCCTACTGTCAGCCCTTGGAACACACCTGTACCAAAACCCAACAGGATGTTCTTAAGAATGCTCAGTGCAGTGTCATTTACAAAAGTGAAACAGTTGAAGCAACCTATATGTCCATCCTTTAGGCAATGACTAAATACGTAATTAAAATGTGAAGTAAAGTTGGGTATGGTGGCTGGGAATATAACTCATTGATAGATTGCTTGTCTGGCATGTATGAAACACATTAATAAATAAATAAGTAAATAAGTAAAACTGGGAATGGTGCTGTATGCCCACAATCAGACCTCTTCAGGAGGATGAGACAGGAAGATTACAAGTTAAAGGTCAAGCCGGGCATGGTGGTACATGGCCTTTAATCCCAGCACTTGGGAGGCAGAGGCAGGTGGATCTCTGTGAGTTCAAGGCCAGCCTGGTCTACATAGTGAGTTCAAGGCCCGCTGGGGCTACAGAGAGACCCTGTCTCAAAAAGACAAAAAAAACCCCAAAACAAAAAAACAACGAAAGTTAAAGGTCAATCTGGACTATGTAGGAAGACTCTCTGAAAAGAATGTAAGGGAACTAGAGATGGCTCAGCAAATAAAGTCACTTGTTGCCAAGTCTGACAACCTGAGTTCAATCCTGGGAACCTACGTGGTGGAAGGAGAGAACTGACTCCCACAGGTTGTCCTCTGACCTCTACACATGAGCATGCACACACTCACAAATAAAGAAATGTAATTAAAAAAAAATTTTTTTAAATCTTATTTTATGTGTATATGTATTGCCTGCATGTAGCTAAGTGCACCCATGTCATGCAATGCTCGCAGAGGTCAGAAGAGGCTGTTGGATCCCCTGGGACTGGAGTTATGGACAGTTGTTAGCTGCCATGTGGGTGCTGGGATTTGAACCTGGGTCTTCTGCAAGAACAACCAGTGTTCTTAACTGCTGAGCCATCTCTCCAGCCCCGTAATTAAAATTTTTTAGTAAAATCAGAGTGACATAAAGAGCCTGTAAGTGGAAGAAGCTAATCGTAAACATGATGTTTCAAATCAAAATCCTGATTAATCATGGAATCATCATTCTATCTATATGAAATGTCCAGAATTGGCAAATTTATAGAGAAAATAAAAACGGATTCATGGTTTCTTGGGGCCAGGGGCTTACTGTTACTGAAGGGCTGTCCTCAGTGGCAGTGTGTATACTTTGTATGTATGAGGATTAGGTTATATACTCAGCATCCAAAAATCAAAATCAAACCAAAGTAAATAGAAATCTGTTACTGAAAGAAAGGAAAAGAGAAGAAAGGGAAAGTTAAATTACATTTTGTCAGAAGAATAAGAAAGAAGTCTATGGCTGGGTTCTCTGACTAGTGTCACTGAGGTATTAGGGCCCTGGGAAGCTGACATGCCCATCTCTAGTTTGTAGACAAATACATTCTTTTTTTGTTTTTTTTATTTTTTGGTCTATGAATACTTTATTTTTATTGTTTGAGATTTCATACCTACATGTAATGCACTTTGATTAGATCCACCCCCTTTTCCTTCCCTCCAATTTCTCCACTATTTCCTCAACACTTTTTCTTCCCAACTTTCTGTGTTCCTTTGTTTCTGTGTGTGGCGCTGGGAATTGAACCTAGGGTCTTCCACATACTAGGCAGATGCTCTGCCACTGAGCTTCATCTTCAACCAGATGTGCTCTTTTTTAGCCTACTGAGACCACTTAGTGTTGCCTATTGTGTATAGGACCATTTATGTGAGAATGGGTTGCCTCTAAGAAGCTCCATCCAAGAGGGTCTTGAATCCCCTGGAACTGGAGTTACTGATGGCTGTTAGCTGCCATGTAGATGCTGGGAACTGAACTCTGGTCCTTTGCAAGAGCAGCCTGTGCTCTTAACTGCTGAACCATCTCTCTAGCCACCCCCTTTTTAAAATCTAAAAATTTTACTAAAAAATAGCAGATGCAACCCTTATAAACATAGTTTTCCCCCAATATAAAAAGACATAAAGAATGCAAAAATCTGCCTCCCTTCCTATCTTTCAGTCCTCTCCTCAGAAGTAACCATGTTTGAACATTTTACTTTTAGCCTTCTGATTCTTGCAAGCTTTAAGTAAGACATTATTAACTTTAAATATTATCTGTCAACTCTCTTCTATGAAAGATGAGCTCTTGAGATTTTTTTTAAGGGTTTTTCTCTATCTCTTGCTTTGCTATGCTCTTAATAGATTTATATCTTCTATTTGTTTTATACATTGAAAAACACTGCATATTTGTTTTAAAAATTTACTGAATAGGGGCTGGGAGAGATGACTCAGTGTTTAAGAGCAGCTAACAACTTCCTTAACTCCAGTTCCACCAGGGGATTGACAACTTCTTCTGGCCTCTACAGGTATTGCACACATGGGTACACTTACATGCAGGCAAACACTCATATACAAAAATAAATAAGTAAAAATTTTTTTAAAAATTGTATACAGAATATATGGGGGAACTCAGGTCACTCTAGAAAGGAAGATTTGGATATTAGCAAAATAGCTAGTGTTTACAAAATTAATCAGGGAAATTAAGTTGAAGCTACCTTGGATGGGGTTCAGAGGCTTGGAGGGCTTGGAGTGGAGCATTGGAAAAGCAGGGATAGGGAGACAGGGCAGACTGGCCTTACTTAAGCTAGGGGCCCTGCAAGCTTCTCTCTGAGTTTCAGTGTCTTTGCTCTGAGTAAATTGATAGCTGAAAATATTAGGCAAAGGATTTTAATTAATGTCCTTAAGAGTGACTTCTGGTAGTAGACATTTGGAAATGTATATTGTGAAAAAGAATTAAAGAGTTTGAAGTAGGGGCTGGAGAGATGGCTCAGCAGTTAAGAGCTCCGACTACTCTTGCAGAGGACCCAGTTCGATTCCCAGCACCCACATGGCAGCTACGAACTATCCTTAACTTCAGTTCCAGGGGAATCCTAAGTCCTCTTCTGACCTCCGCGGCATTGCATGACACGGGTGCACTCACATACATGCAGGCAATACACTCATACATATAATATTTTAAAAAAAAGGAGTTTGAAGTAAAAAATGTGATAAAAGTTACACTTCCACATTGAGTTCTGGGATGAAGGATGTCCTGGATAGCTTTTGTTGTCAACTTGACACACCTGGGGAAAGGGAGCCTCAGTTAGGGAATTAGGGAATTCAACTGGCCTGTGGTCAGGTCTGTGGGGTATTTTCTTGATTGTGGAGTGATGTGGGAGGGCCCAGCCCACTGTGGGTGGTGCTACCTCTGAGCCCATAGACCTGTGTTGTATAAGAAAGCAGGCTGAGCATGGGTCAGGGGAGCAAGCCAGTAAGCAAGCAGCTATCCTCCATGGTCTGTGTTCCAGGTTCCTGATGTGAGTTCCTACCTTGGCTTCCCTTGATGATGGACTGTGCTTGTAAGCCAAATAAACCCTTTCCTCCCCAAGTTGGTTTTTTGGTCAGTATTTTTATCACAGCAATTGAAAGTAAGACAGAAATTGCTACCAGGATCAGTGGGGTATGGCTGTGACAGACCTGACCCAGTAGTTTTTTAGAGGATTGTGGAAGCATTTGGAACATTAGGCTAGAAAAACCATTGAGTGCTTAGAGTTTGTTGCTGTGGAGCTTGGAACAGTTATGCTGAAAGAGTTGTAGATGGTGGAGGCCTAGCTTATGAAGCTTCAAAGAGAAGCAGAGACTCTCAGGACTTTTGGTACATTATTCTGAATTGAGAATCTGTGGCTTCTGGTCATCTGGGGCTTAAGAATCAGCTGTGGTTAAGAAGAGACCCAGAACCATGGAAGTAAAACCTTTTTTTTTTTTTACTGGGACAATTGATGCTGGTTAGCTGGGGCTGAAAAATGAGTGACAAGAGACCAGCATCATTGAGACGAAATCTTCTGGAAAGTATTTCCTCAGTGTCAGCACACAGAAGCTGTGGTCCAGAGGGGGCCCAAGGCTCCATCTCAGGCTGGAAGCAGGACTTGATAATGTAAGGGTCTCCTATATGGTACTGGTTTTGAGGGCATGAAGGGGTCATGGAGAGCAGCTGAGGCTTAGCACTGTGAGAGACCAGGAAAAGCCATTGGTAAAGGTACAGCCTCAGTTTTAATGACTACCCACAGGACCGACTGAGTCATGGAGACAGTCTGAGGCTTTGTACCCTGAGAGGCCAGGAAAGGCCATTGAAGGTACAGCTTCACTTGCAGATGAGACCCCCATATACTGGAGGTACCAAGACCATGGGACACCCACCAAGGGCAGTGACAGGTGTAGAGTGGAACCAGCCTGAACCTATGAGATGAACTGTGTGTGCTGGGCACAGTGGAGCCAGAAAAGTGAAGTTGCATAAGCCCTTTGGAGCCCAGAAGATTGTGAATAAATCCAAGATGTCCAGCCTTGTGCTACTTACTTTGCCATTTGGTTTTGCTTAAGTGTGCCTGAGTTTCCCTTTTGAAATAAGACAGTACTTAACTTGTTTTGGACTTTACAGTAACCCACAGTAAAGACTTTTAAAAGAGACTTTAAACTTTTAAGTGTTTGGATTTTTTTAAGGACTGTGGGATTTTTAAAGTTGTACTGTTTTATGTTGTGATAATATCAACATCTGTACCTTGGGGATAAGAAATGGAAAGTGTGGTTTAATAGTGATGTGTTTGTGTGTCAAGTTGACAAAGGGGTCATTTGTACTGCATGGTTTTAGTTGTCAACTGGACACACCTGTGTAGAGGGAGCCTCACCTGGGGGAATTTCCTTCATTGGATTGGCCTGAGGCCCTTTCTGTGGGACATTTTCTTGATTAGGTGATGTAGGAGGACCCAGCCCACTGTGGGTGGGCCCAGCCCATTGCAGATAGTCCTGTGTTGTATAAGAAAGCAGGCAGAGCCACAGACTAGAGGAGCAAGTCAATAAGCAGCACTTCATGATCTGTGCTCCCGTGTT